CTCACGGTGATGCTCGTCATATCTCTTGAACCTCCTCTGCCACTCGGCCGCAACATTAAGTAGTTCAACGAGGTTCCCATTGCTTCATATCTTAAGTTGCGTCGAGATGTAGATCAATTTACGGTTGCTCGTGACTCTCAGGACAATCATTTTCGCACTAATGTCCAAGCTGGCATTTTTACCACTGTCATCATTCCTAAGGGTCTTTCTCTGCATTTGTGCATTAATTTAGAGCATATTCGTACTCATCCAGAGAAATATTCTGGGGCTATGGAACTCATTGAGTCGTCCAATCTTGCTGCTCCATTTGCATTTCAACATGACTTTAACCAAGACGCCATTCATCAATTCTATGCCACATGTTTCTTCGGTCCAAATAACACTGTTACTTGGATGACCTCCGACACAAAGCTATCGGCTTCCTATTCTCAATTTGTTGCTGCCCTTGGTTTTCCTGACACCGGGTTCAAAATTCACAATGATGACCCCGAACATAGACCCAAGGGCACTGATGCATGTGCTGATCTTATCAAACCCACCACAGAACTGACTAATGAGGAGAAACATAAGGGCTTTAACCAAGTCTCCATTTGGCACTCTCCTGTCTTCATTATCTATCAATGTGTCATTCGCACCATTTATCCTAAGATGGGTGACAAGGGCTCTTGCAGTAGCTATTGCATCGATCTCATGCATCGCCTTTATGCATCTCCGAAAGGGAAGATCAACATCCCTCATTTTCTGTGGCATGAAATTCGCCTTGCTTCTCTCCAGCATAAGCGGGCCTTTCCTCATGCTCCTTTTCTTTAGGCATTCACTGAGAGTGTGGATCCATTTCCTATTGTCCGCACCCATTTGCATGAGCGATGGGTTATTCCCGCACACATGGCAGATGATTATGTTCCCAAGGACTCTTCCTATTATGCTCATCCACGCCGCACAACTGCTAGCATTCCTCGTTCTGCTCCCTCCGGATCTGCACCCTTTAGTCGCATTGCTCAGTTTCTTGGGAAGGCTCACTCTGCCTTGATGAAGGCTGTTACCTTTAACTCCTCCCAAAATCACGATGTTGTCACTTGCCTGATCACCTCCAAGAATACTCTGAAGGCTCGTCTGAGAGACTCTGGAGCTTACGATGTGAATGATGATGACCGTCTTCCTGATGCTCCCTCTTCTGACTTTGGCTTTCCTGCGGGTCCTGAGTGGTCTGACTTCTTTGACGAGGCCGGTGGTAGTGGTGCTCATGATGATGATGATGATGAGGCAGGGTTTTGATGATGATGATGATGTTCTGGTTGCTCCTCTTGGCCCCCTTTTGGGTACTTGCTGCCAAGGGGGAGTAGTAGTATCCATTGAGTATCATAATATGTGATATTAACTTGTATTGCACTATGATATGTATCGTACCATGAACCTTGTTATGATCATTGTTACTTTAGGTTCTATGATGTGAGTGATGAATCTATTTGAATGTTATCATGTGCAACTTGTGATTTGAGTGTGTTGATATCACCCTGAGGGGGAGCTACTCTCATGCTTATTTTTCTTTGTGCACATTGTTAAGGGGAGCTCCGCAACAAATCCCTTCGATACTCAAAGTTTTTATTTTAAGAAGTACATGTATGTTGTCATCAACTACCAAAAAGGGGGAGATTGAAAGTGCAATCATGCCCTTAATCTTATTTTGATGTTGATGACAACATGCATGTATGGGACTAATCATGTTTATCAAGTATATCTCAAGATTATGTCTCAAATGCCGTGTGTGGATCATGACTAGGGACAAATGCATATTACTCAAGATCAGAGATACAAGACAATAGTGTTGGCTTTGTTTACGGTTTGTTGTTGAGTATAGGGATCCCGCACTATTAAGAGGGGATCGTTGGATCTAGTGAAAGACTTGCTCAAAACCCACCAACTCCAGCTTTTCACCGGACGTCCGGTACTCTATGGACGTCCGATCCCTCTCAGCTATCCGGACGTCCGGCTCTCCACGGTTGACTGGTGTTTCTTCAACAGAACGATATTCACGGATGTCCATGCTTCTCCGGACGTCCGGTAGCCGGATGTCCGTTTTCCTCCGGACATCTGACACTTCCTCTACAGAACACTTTTTACGGATTTCCGGTCATCTACGGACGACCGGTCACCGGACGACCGAAACGTCTCGGACGTCCGTTGGTTGTGTGCTGGTTCATGGCTTATGGTTCTCCAGCGTCCGGATGACCGATGTCTGTCAGACGTCCGGACCTATATGTGCCACCGAACGTCCGGTCCTGTCCGGATGTTCGACGTCTCCTGTGCACTTAAGTTGCTCAAACGGTTACTTTTCACTCCCACTATATATAGCCTTCTCCCCCCATGGGATAAGGTTGACCATTCACTTTGAGCTTGCCAAGAACACTTTTCACACTCTCTCTCAATCCTCTACACCAAATCCTAGATCCCCAAGTGATTTGGGAACATTTGAGAGAAGTTCTCCAATCAAGTGATAGATCCACTCCTTCCCCTTCTTCTCACCAAAGGAATTCGTGATTTGAGCAAGTTTGGAGCTTTTCCCATCGTTCTTGTTACTCTTGGAGGTTGGAGACTCCTAGGCGGTAGGAGTTTTTCGGAGAGGAATCAACATTTGTGCTTACCCCCGAAAAAATTTGTGAGGGTTTGGAGACCACCCCAAGGTCTACCACTAGTGGTTGAGAAACGCCTTCGTGGTGTTGTCTCAAAGGGAGAATAGGGTGAGCCTTCGTGGCGTTGGTGTGCCTTCGTGGTAACACCCACCTCTCTAACAGTGACGTAGCTTCCCTCCAAGGAAGTGAACATCGGCATACATCCTCGTCTTCCGGAGTTGCAGTTATTCCTAACCCTAACTCTCTACTTGTGGCTACTTGTCTCTTAACACTTACTTATATCATATTGTGCTTGCTTACTTACATACTTGTGTCAATTGTTTATCTTGCTTAGCTCTTAGCTTCACACTTACAATTGTTAGGCTCACCATCATATTTCGCATTATTGTCTAAAATTGCTAAGTAATAATTAAAATTTGTAATTGTACCTATTCACCCCCCCCCCAGGTCCATCTCGAACCTTTCACATGGTGGTGGAAGTATCGCTCGCGCTGCCCATCGGAAGCTAGGGATTGCGGGTGCGGGAATTGGGGAATTCCCCAGAACGAAATGGAGCAGCGCCTTATCCAGTACCACAGGTGGGCCTCGAACTGATGGTGGGTCCATCCTGACGTGCGGGGCCCGAGCTGACATGGCATACAGCAAAGTACGCAGTATGTACGTGACGTGTAGAGCCATGCGTTTCAACCACAGGGACCGTATTGACCACGTATTTTCATGTACCGGGACCGTATTGAAGCAATGCGTAAGTTCCAGGACTGAGTTGGACGTCGCTAGCGAGTACGGGGACTATAGATGCAATCATCTCAGGCCCGGATGAGGCGGATTACTCGGCCCTTGGGGCAGGGACCGATTCGCCGAGAGGGCCCCGTCAGGGCCTGTGAAGTCAGACAGCCCCCCCCCCCACACACACAACAGTAAGTTCTTACACTCGGCCTTGTTTCCATCAGTCCAGTTGGCTCCGTATGCGACTTTGCTTGTCTTGTGCTTCAGTCGGAAGATGAAGGGGAAGCTGACTTTCTTCTCAGGGGGGGAGTCCTCCGACAGCGAGAGGGGAAGACGTCCCACTCGACGCTCCAGGGCCTCATCTGCTGCCTCGTCCGAGTAGGCGGAGAGGGCTGGCTCGGGGGTGGAGGAGATTGCTCCCCCCTCCCCCCCCCCACCCCGCACGCCCCCGAAGCATGCGACAACGGGAGGAGGGGGCCACCCCCACGGACGCGGAGCAGTCGGCCAAGCACCCCCCGCTAGGCCCCCGTCGTCGAGGACCCCGCTCAACCAGCCCTGGTGGCTGCCGCTTGAAGGGTATACCCAAGTACGACTGGTAAGTGGTTGACGATTGCTTGTTTATCGATTTTGATTGATGAAATCTTCACGGTTGTCCCTTCCCTTGATTGTTGGGTGGCGGGGTGAGGTTTTGCAAGTTTTGGACTTGTGCAAGTTCACTGGTCTGTGATGCTATTACCTAAAAAAATACCAAGAAACAAGAATTATCACCCCGAGATATCACATGATACCAACCATCACATGATACGATGATACGATATTTAAAAACTTAATTTTTGATATTTCAAAAATATCAAAAAAAAATCATGAATGTGCAGAAGCCTTGTTCCTACAAACCCTAAAAAATTCAAATCCAAAGTCGAAATATACAAGGAGAAACAAAAAAGACAAATCCACATGTGAATAGTGACATTTCAGGTTTTGTCTTTTTGTGACACTATTCGTGCTGAATTTGTCTTTTTTAGTTCTCAATGTGTATTTCGGATATGAATCTGAATTTTTTTAGGGCTAGTAGATATATGTCTTGTGCACATTCACAAATTTTCTTAGATTTTTTTTTTGAAGCATGCAAATTTGAGTTTTATGACATGGTATCATGTGATGGTTGGTATCCTAGGATATTTTCCCTCATCACCCCCAAAGTTCACCACAAACCGAGAAACGGAGACCAAGATGCAGAGATTTCGATGATGAAAGGAAAGTCAAAAGCAAGAAACACTTTGTCAGTCTGTATGAGCAATGTACGTATCATACTTCAAAGTTACAGACAAACAGATTGCGTGTCCATGAGTACTTTATGCTGAAAATACGATACAAACGCATCCTAATTTGTTTTCTTCCTGCAAAAATTTGCATTTTGTCCTCGCAGATACAGATCTATCAAAATCCATAAACCTATCGCAAACCCTGGGCCAACAAATAAGGAACAGATCGAGTCTGAATGACATTTCAGACATTCAGTATGTGGACATCATGGCATGCCGTACCCATCCATCCATGGACTTGCCATTCCTGCCTCTGCAACGCCATCCAGCGCAATGGCATCACCTGAGAGAAGCCACGGATCCGGGGAAGAGAAGAGCGGCTTCAGTTGCTGGAGTTGGGTCCGTAGCACGCGCCGAGGACGGGGTTCCAGAGCCACTGCACCAGGAACCGCCGGCCGTTGACGCCGTTCACGTTGTAGGAGCTGCCGTCGGCTGCGCGGGAGACATTCCCGACGAACCCGCCTGCTCCACCGCCGTCGCCGTAGACCCCGAGACAGAGGTCGGCGATCTCCGTGGGCGCCGTTGGCGTGTCACCGGCGTACCACGCGTTCACCAGCGGGTTGGTGGCCAGCTCCGCAAGCTCGTGCCCCAGCACGATCACCATCCCGTCCACCCCGGGGTCGCCGTTCGGCGGCCGCAGCACCCCCTGCCCGCTGGCGCCGTACTCCGGCGCGGCGAACGGATACGCACACCTCCCTGGGCACTGCGAGCCGCTATTCCCGACCCACGCGTACGGGACGGTGACCCCGACCACGGACGCGAATGTGAAGTAGTGGAAGCCGCACATGGCGCGGCAGAACTCCTCCACCTGCACGTCCGGTGAGGAGAGCACCAGGTACACGCCGTTGTACGGGTCGAGCGGCAGAGGGTCCGGGTACGCGACCACGGCGGTGCGGATGATGGACTGCATGTCGATCCGCTTCAGGGAGGCGCCGTGGGAGTACCCGGCGTCGGAGTGCTCCCCGGCGATGGCGAATGTGGCGGTGACATTGGCGCCGGATTGGTCCGTGTAGAGCCGCGGCGTGCGGGCCCACCAGTCGGAGACGGCGGGGAACGGCGCCGGAGCGGAGAGGGAGGCGAGGAAGTCGCGGAGCACAGCCTGCGCCGGGGCCTCCCACCGGCCGTACCAGATGAGGAACAGGTTGGTCGGCGCGCCTGACACGACGGGGCCCATGTGGTACTGCATGTCTACCAGCTGGTTCCCGTCCACCAGGTACTCCGGCCTATACACCGGCGCGCAACGCACGCCGGCGATGGCGGCGGCGAAGAGGACGGGGAGGAGGGTAAGGGTAGGGTGACACGGGAGCAGCGTCCCCATTTTGGGGATTGAGTCGAGTGAAGTGGTAGTGACACAGGGTGAGAAGGGGAAGATGGGTTTTGGTGATTTTCGAGTTTGAATCACACTTCAAAGTTCGGAGTAAATAATTATGGTAGGACTGTAACACTTTCGTTCTGTCTTTGGCTTGGGAAGTCTCGCTCTTAAATTTCTCATGGGTGTGGGTGTCTGAATTGGACCTTTTTGAATGAATTCAATCAAAGATAAAAAAAGGAGAAACACCGAATCGCAATGTCAATCCATTCTCATCTCGATATTCCGATGCATCCGAAACAAAAGACATTTGATGTTATCATTTTTTTGTACTACTGGCTTCAAACAGTATGACATGCTAGTAGTACTTTTCCTTTCTCATTTTTTCAAAAATCTAAAATTTTCGGCTTGTATGGCCTTTTGCTTTGAAAATGGGCAAATATTGGTTATATCCACATTAAATTATATCTAATTTTGGTTCATAGTATCCAGCCAACCAATGCATGAAAGTGAATGAAGTCATACATGTTGTGGCATTAATAAGTGCTCTGCCACTTAAGAGGTTCAGTTGTGTAACAGTGATTTTAAAAATAATGTAAGATGTCTCAAAACAAAAAGCCACTTTGAAACCCGGGTGCATTGGAGCCCTATTTTTTGAACCGTGCCAAAATGCTATTTTGAAGTTTTAAAAAAATCTGAAAAAAAATCAACATGTCTATATGAATGTATATTACACATGTGTAAATCTTGATGCTGAAATAAATAACCATGTGAATTACACAAAAATGCCAAAATCGTGATTCTGAAAAGATGAACAATGCATGCATTATTCACTATTTGGAAATCACCATTTTGCCATTTTTGTGTAGGTCGCATATTTACCTATTTCATCACCAAACTTTATACATGTGTAATATACATCCATATGATCACGTTGAATTTTTTTTAGAATTTTTTGAAACCTTAAATGTGATTTTTAAAGTATTTAAAATAAGTTCCTCTAGGCTCCAATACACCCGGGTTCCAAAAATCCACTCTCGTCTCAAAAGCCCTTGTATGAGAAACAATATAGAAATCGGTTTTTGAGGGGAGATTACTCGTCAATATTTCATTGAAGCTATTCTCGGTGAGATCTTCTTGACAAGATCAACAAATCCCTCCATAGTGGGCACGAGCCGTTAATCTAAAAACTTAGTCGTCCTTGTATATGAGTTGCACAAGCCAATGAACTGTACTCATAGGAAACAAAATGTAACGCGAGACGTCAACGGTTCCACACGGTCCAAAGCTGCGCCGGTGGAACCAGTGAAGGCCACCATGATGGCAGTGACTTGCCTTGGACACAATTTATGAGTTGTTGTATTTTACATTGGAGTGATGCGAGACCTGCAGTATAAAAACTTTAATTTGCATTGGTCGGTACAGAGGCGCACAGTCAGTCTTTTCTATTAGGCCAGCACACGACCCTAGATCGTTCGGGTCTGTTTGAGGTTAAACGGACATATGAGGTTAAACGGACATATGAGATGGCCCAATGCATGACCCTATATCGTAAAAAGCGTCTCGTCTCACCCCATTCTGATGCAAATTTAAGCTAGGTTGCATCTGAAGCGGATGCTTTGTGCTGCGTCCTTGTCCGAACTCGTCCGCTTTGCATGTGAGTCCTGGCCCGCCTGTCAATGAAACCAAAGGAGCCCACCCGCCCACCAATCCCTTTCTCTCTCCTTCTTTTCTCTGATCCTCTTGCTCGACACGCAGTTCGACGGCCGGGTGTGGTCGCACGGAGGCAAGCAGGCGGGCCCATGGCGTTGGCGAGGCGGTGCAGGCTCGCAGTCGGGGAGGCGGGGCCGCGGCAAGTCGTGCGTGGCGCCGACAGGGTCGCGCGGCGCTCGAGGGCTCGGGGCTCGCGGCGGCTCGGCAGGGTGCGACTGTTGGGGAACGTAGTAATTTCAAAAAATTTCCTACGCACACGCAAGATCATGGTGATGCATAGCAACGAGAGGGGAGAGTGTTGTCTACGTACCCTCGTAGACCGGCAAAGGAAGCGTTGACACAACATAGAGGAAGTAGTCGTACGTCTTCCCGATCCGACCGATCCAAGTGCCGAACGTACGGCACCTCCGAGTTCTGCACACGTTCAACTCGGTGACGTCCCTCGAGCTCCGATCCAGCCGAGTGTTGAGGGAGAGTTTCTTCAGCACGACGGCGTGATGACGGTGATGATGTTCTACCGACGCAGGGCTTTGCCTAAGCACCGCTACGATATGACCGAGGTGGAATATGGTGGAAGGGGGCACCGCACACGGCTAAGGAACGATCACGAAGATCAACTTGTGTGTCATGTGGTGCCCCCTTGCCCCTGTATATAAAGGAGGGAGAGGGGGAGGTGCGGCCGGCCCTAGGGGTGCGCCTGGAGGAGTCCTACTCCCACCGGGAGTAGGACTCCCCCCTCTTGCCTTGTTGGAGAAGGAAAGGGGAAGGGGGAAAGAGGAAAGGGGGCGCCGCCCCCCCCCCCTTCCTTGTCCTATTCAGACTAGGGGGGAGGGGGCGCGCGGCCTGCCCTGGCCGGCCCTCCTCTTCTCCCTTAGGGCCCACGTAGGCCCAGTAACCCCCGGGGGGTTCTGGTAAACCCCGGGGGGTTCTGGTAACCCCCCGGTGCTCCGGTAAAATCCCGATTTCACCCGGAACATTTCCGATATCCAAATATAGGCTTCCAATATATCAATCTTTATGTCTCGACCATTTTGAGACTCCTCGTCATTTCCGTGATCACATCCGGGACTCCGAACAACCTTCGGTACATCAAAACACAAAAACCCTAAGTCGTCACCGAACTTTAAGCGTGCGGACCCTACGGGTTCGAGAACTATGTAGACATGACCAAGACACGTCTCCGGTCAATAACCAATAGCGAAACCTGGATGCTCATATTGGCTCCTACATATTCTACGAAGATCTTTATCGGTCAGACCGCATAAGAACATACGTTGTTCCCTTTGTCATAGGTATGTTACTTGCCCGAGATTCGATCGTCGGTATCTCAATACCTAGTTCAATCTCGTTACCGGCAAGTCTCTTTACTCGTTCCATAATACATCATCCCGCAACTAACTTATTAGTTGCAATACTTGCAAGGCTTGAGTGATGTGCATTACCGAGAGGGCCTAGAGATACCTCTCCGACAATCGGAGTGAAAAATCCTAATCTCGAAATACGCCAACCCAATAAGTGCCTTCGGAGACACCTGTAGAGCACCTTTATAATCACCCAGTTACGTTGTGACGTTTGGTAGCACACAAAGTGTTCCTCCGGTAAACGAGAGTTGCATAATCTCATAGTCATAGGAACATGTATAAGTCATGAAGAAAGCAATAGCAACAAACTAAACGATCAAGTGCTATGCTAACGGAATGGGTCAAGTAAATCACATCATTCTCTAATGATGTGAGCCCGTTAATCAAATGACAACTCATGTCTATGGCTAGGAAACTTAACCATCTTTGATTCAACGAGATAGTCAAGTAGAGGCATACTAGTGACATACTGTTTGTCTATGTATTCACACATGTATTATGTTTCCGGTTAATACAATTCTAGCATGAATAATAAACATTTATCATGATATAAGGAAATAAATAATAACTTTATTATTGCCTCTAGGGCATATTTCCTTCAGTCTCCCATTTGCACTAGAGTCAATAATCTAGTTCACATCGCCATGTGATTTAACATCAATAGTTCATATTACCATGTGATTAACACCCATAGTTCACATCGTCATGTGACCAACACCCAAAGGGTTTACTAGAGTCAATAATCTAGTTCACATCGCTATGTGATTAATACCCAAAGAGTACTAAGGTGTGGTCATGTTTTGCTTGTGAGGGAAGTTTAGTCAACGGGTCTGCCACATTCAGATCCGTATGTATTTTGCAAATTTCTATGTCAACAATGCTCTGCACGAAGCTACTCTAGCTAATTGCTCCCACTTTCAACATGTATCCAGATTGAGACTTTGAGTCATCTGGATCAGTGTCAAAACTTGCATCGACGTAACCCATTACGACGAACCTTTTGTCACCTCCATAATCGAGAAACATATCCTTATCCCACTAAGGATAATTTTGACCAGTGTCCAGTGATCTACTCCTAGATCACTATTGTACTCCCTTGCCAAACACAAGGCAGGGTATATAATAGGTCTGGTATACAGGATGCATACTTTATAGAACCTATGGCTGAGGCATAGGGAATGACTCTCATTCTCTCTCTATCTTCTGCCGTGGTCGGGTTTTGAGTCTTACTCAACTTCACACCTTGTAACAAAGGCAAGAACTCCTTCTTTGACTGTTCCATTTTGAACTACTTCAAAATCTTGTCAAGGTATGTACTCATTGAAAAACTTATCAAGCGTCTTGATCTATCTCTATAGATCTTGATGCTCAATATGTAAGCAGCTTCACCGAGGTCTTTCTTTGAAAAACTCCTTTCAAACATTCCTTTATGCTTTGCAGAATAATTCCACATTATCTCCTATCAACAATATGTCATTCACATATACTTATAAGAAATGTTGTAGTGCTCCCACTCACTTTCTTGTAAATACAGGCTTCACCGCAAGTCTGTAAAAAACTATATGCTTTGATAAACTTATCAAAGCGTATATTCCAACTCCGAGATGCTTGCACCAGTCCATAGATGGATCGCTGGAGCTTGCATATTTTGTTAGTACCTTTAGGATTGACAAAACCTTCTGGTTGCATCATATACAACTCTTCTTTAATAAATCCATTAAGGAATGCAGTTTTGTTTATCCATTTGCCAGATTTCGTAAAATGTGGTAATTGCTAACATGATTCGGACAGACTTAAGCATAGATACGAGTGAGAAACTCTCATCGTAGTCAACACCTTGAACTTGCCGAAAACCTTTTTGCGACAATTCTAGCTTTGTAGATAGTAACACTACTATCAGCGTCCGTCTTCCTCTTGAAGATCCATTTAATCTCA